AAACAATCAGATATACAAGGAAGCAACACAGCGCAGAGATTTGAGTGACTAAAATATGTACAATCATTGATGAAGCACACACAGAAACCTCACAAACTCGCATCCCCTCGATTATGAGATGGACTCCATGTGTAAAACAATATTTGTCTCTTTCATGTTAACAGGAACTCTGCAAAAAGCTGCAACACGCTATCGATGTGGTGGATGAGGAGCGCTACGACACAGAGGCCAAACAAGTAAAGACGCAAAAGGAGGTGTGTTTATCTCATATGGTCTATTTTCTTGTTGGTTTCTGGCATTGTTCTAGGTCATAAACACAACAGATAACACACACACACTGATTCAATTCACTGAGGTTGGTCGTTTACGATTGGTTATGATGGTTTTACGGATAAAAACTGTCATCTTCAGTCTGCCTGCTGGATTTTTGGGATATAGTTTTTAGAATAGATTGTAGGTGGATTTTTAGACGCGGCATTTTCTTCATAAAAATAGCGTTCCTGTTTCTTTGGGAAAGAAAGCAGAGGTAAAAACATTTAAGTTGTCTCTCACAAAAAATAGAGATGATTAAGGTTTCCAATGTTTAAATTATTTCATAACTTTCGTCAACACAAATGTGTCGTTTCACTGACATTTTACTGAGTTAGAATTGATCAGACTTGTTGCTTTTAGCATAGAAAAGAAATGCTCAGAATCAGAGCATTTAGAGGCCATCTCTGATTTTAAACCTGTAATCTTTATGTATCTAAAAACAATAAATACCTAGATCGATAGATAACCTAGATAAATACCTGTATACATTGCTGAATTAGAAAAAGAAATAAATGTATATGTCTCCATTCAACAGTCATCAGTACTTCTGATGAACCCTTTCTTATATAAATGGGCCCTTTTTGCTGTTCTTCCCTACTTTTCACTGGCTTACAGTAAAAAAAAATAAACCAGCGTGCACTGTGAAGCTTCAAACTCACTTTTTTTGTTACCTTTGGTCTCTTTTTTTACCCATTATTGCTCCTTGTTCCCATTGGGGGGGTTTTGGTGACCAGCCCCAAACCTGTAGTCCCTTTGTCCGTGGCCTGGTCCCACAGCCCCTTGGTCTCCATGAGGTCATTAGCCTGGTTAGCTAGGTTTGAGGTTTTTTGGATACAGGACTCCAAATGGCCATCTTTTAATTTTTTTGTAGTATTTTGCACCTCGACAAACTCCAACTGAAACTCCGAGTGAAACAGTGCTTAAAAGCCTTTTGAATTCAGACCCAAACAGCCAGTTAGCTGCTAACATTCATGTGAAAGGCCTGGCTGTCTCACCCCATTTTCTCTCTGTACACTTAAGTTACCACAGAGAAATTAAGAAAGTGATTATACATATATTGATTTTCCTAACAGTGAGTTCTCTCTGGGTGTTAAACAGAACTCCCAAATCTCTATTTGATGCTAATCATACGCTAAAAACCCCCAGTAAAGGTTCGGTTAGCTAAAGTGAACTCGGGTGCTGCATGACTAGCTTTAGCTTTAGCTTAACCGTTGAACTGTTTGGCGCTCTTAGATCGATGACCTGAAGATGAAGGTGGTGGAGCTAGCCGGAGTGAAGAAACCGGCCCTGAAGAAGGTTCGCATGTCCGCGGACGACATGCTGAAAGCTCTGCTGGGCTCCAAACACACCGTCAACATGGACCTGAGGGCCAACCTGAAGCAGGTCAAGAAGGAGGTCAAAGAAGAGGTGAGGAACTATCTGAGTTATCGCAATGAAATCTAAACCAATGTAGTCAACTCTATGACCGGAAACTGCACGGTGGAGTAATGTTTCTTTTGGTTATCAGATAAAAAGTGTATTTTAACCCTTTAAAGTCCAAGAAAAAAAGGAGGAATATTGGATTTTTTTAGTCTGAAGTCTTTCTTTGGCCCCT